CCAGTATACCACACTCCATCAGGTGGGCGTCCAGTATACCACACTCCATCAGGTGGGTGTCTAGTATTCCACTCTCCATCAGCTGTGTGTCCTGTATACCACACTCCATCAGGTGTGTGCCTTGTATACCACACTCCATCAGATGGGTGTCCAGTATACTACACTCCGTGAGGTGGGTGTCCAGTGTACCACACTCCATCAGGTGGGTGTCCAGTATACCACTCTCCATCAGGTGGGTGTCCAGTATGCCACACTCCATTAGGTGGGTGTTCAGTATACAGCACTCCATCAGGAGGGTGTCCAGTATACCACACTCCATCAGGTGGGTGTCCAGTATACAGCACTCCATCAGGTGGGCGTTCAGTATACCACACTCCATCAGGTGGGTGTCCAGTATACCACACTCCATCAGGTGGGTGTCCAGTATACAATACTCCGTCAGCTTGGTGTCCAGTATACCACACTCCATCAGGTGGGTGTCCAGAATACCACGCTCCATGAGGTGGGTGTCCAGTATACCACACTCCGTCAGGTGGGTGTTCAGTATACCACACTCCATGAGGTGGGTGTCCAGTATTCAACACTCCGTCAGGTGGGTGTCCAGTATACCACACTCCATCATGTGGGTATCCAGTATACCACACTCCATCAGGTGGCTGCCCTGTATACCACACTCCATCAGGTGGGTGTCCAGTATACCTCACTCCATCAGGGGGCGTCCGTATACCACACTCCATCAGGTGGGTGTCCAATATACCACACTCCATCAGGTGCGTGTCCAGTATACCACACTCCGTCAGGTGGGTGTCCAGTATACCACACTCCATCAGTTGGGTGCCCAGTATACCACACTCCATCAGTTGGGTATCCAGTATACCACACTCCATCAGTTGGGTGTCCAGTATACCACACTCCATGAGGTAGGTGTCCAGTATACCTCACTCCATCAGTTGGGTGTCCTGTATACCACACTCCATCAGTTGGGTGTCCAGTATACCACACTCCATGAGGTGTGTGTCCTGTATAATACACTCCATCAGGTGGCTGCCCTGTATACCACACTCCATCAGGTGGGTGTCCAGTATACCTCACTCCATCAGGAGGGCGTCCAGTATACCACACTCCATCAGGTGGGTGTCCAATATACCACACTCCATCAGGTGCGTGTCCAGTATACCACACTCCGTCAGGTGGGTGTCCAGTATACCACACTCCATCAGTTGGGTGCCCAGTATACCACACTCCATCAGTTGGGTGTCCAGTATACCACACTCCATCAGTTGGGTGTCCAGTATACCACACTCCATGAGGTAGGTGTCCAGTATACCTCACTCCATCAGTTGGGTGTCCAGTATACCACACTCCATCAGTTGGGTGTCCAGTATACCACACTCCATGAGGTGTGTGTCCTGTATAATACACTCCATCAGGTGGGTGTCCAGTATACCACACTCCATCAGGTGTGTGTCCAGTATACCGCACTCCATCAGGTGGGTGTCCAGTATACCACACTCCATCAGTTGGGTGTCCAGTATGCAACACTCCATCAGGTGGGTGTCCAGTATACCACACTCCATCAGTTGGGTGTCCAGTATGCAACACTCCATCAGGTGGGTGTCCAGTATACCACACTCCATCAGTTGGGTGTCCAGTATGCAACACTCCATCAGTTTGGTGTCCAGTATACCACACTCCATCAGGTGATAAAGGGCGTGGAGAATGGTTGGCAGTCTTGCTTGATCCGAGGAATGGGAGAGCATCGCTACATATACTGAGCAAAAGACTATGACAAATATCAAAGCTCTCTTAAATGAACCAGCCATTTAGTGAACCTGTGGGTAGACACGCCATTGCCAGCCATTTAGTGAACCTGTGGGTAGACACGCCATTGCCAGCCATTTAGTGAACCTGTGGGTGAACACTTCCCCACCTGAGGACAGACGTATCCCTGACAGCCCCAGTTGTTACAAACTCGCATCTCAACAGAGCAGATGGTAGACTCTCAGCCTCACAGGTGGTTCCAGAGCCTCGTCTGTCACAGAGAATAAAGTTGGAATATGTTGAAGAGTCTTGATCATGCAGTAGCTACGCACTGTAGCACAGGTGATGACACAGCTACACAGATGAGCTACCGTACCCCAAACATTGGTTGAGAACGATGATTTTGCATCTCCTGTTTCTTAGACTTAGACAGTTATATGATAATCTTCTGGGATCTTTCCTCAGCACTTGACGTAAATATAATTCTGGGCATTTTGCATTAACGAAATTAACTTTCTGAGTTAACTTGCTTGTTTCTTCTATACAGTGGCGATGATACGACTGTGTCTTTTGCCGGGAGAATAAGTGACACTCAGTGGGAGGCGTTGTTCAGAGGCTTCTTCAGTCCAGTACTGAGAACGGTGGAAGACGAGAAGGAATTCGAAGTAATGAGTCTCTCAGCCTGGAGTCGATGTGTTCAGTATTGAACTGAAGAATGTAGAATCTCAAATGTTGTACTAGTGTCTTATCAGTTTTCAAAACCATTTTGGGGCACGTCAGGTTCCCTGTTATCTAATAATATATTATTTTAACCCCTATAATCTACGTTTTCTATAATTAGTATCATATTTACTTTGTTTCGTAAGGTGAAGTCCAGGATCTTTCTTTAATTCATGGTATAACTTAACAAATTTTTGCTGACGGTCGGGAACTAAGGAAACATCCTGGACTTCACCTTACGAAGCAGACACAGCAAATGTGAGATTAATTATGGACACGGTAGATTATACTGGAAAAATAAATATGATGTTAGGAACCAGGGAGAGTCAGACGCCTCTTAATACAAAGTTGTGGTTATGTTCCCCTGGAGTATACCTCTCCAGGTATACTCCAGGTGGGATGTTAACCACTCACCTGACTCTTCTTCCACATGTACCCAGATATAACCATCAGTTTTTGAAAGGATATGAAAAATTTAGTTAAACTGACCGTGAGCTATAGTTCAACAGTTTTATATGTTAGAGAAAGATGTGTCCAGCAGGGAAGATTCATCCGAAGTTCCCATTGTCTACTATGTTTCGCACACTGCTAGTGTAGCACTTCTAGCAGCCTTAGTAAAGTGAATCTTGACAAACTCTTGCTGAAGTTGGAACATCAGACTCACTAGTGAACAAGTTAAACTTATGCCTGAACAAGTTGAACTTATGGTTCAAGTTGTAGCATCAGAATCACTACAGCTGTCAACTTTGACTCACATTAGTGGCAAGCAGCCTACAGAAGTAGAGTGTTACGACGTGGTACAGAAGTAGAGTGTTACGACGTGGTACAGAAGTAGAATGTTACGACGTGGTACAGAAGTAGAGTGTTACGACGTGGTACAGAAGTAGAGTGTTACGACGTGGTACAGAAGTAGAATGTTACGACGTGGTACAGAAGTAGAGTGTTACGACGTGGTACAGAAGTAGAGTGTTACGACGTGGTACAGAAGTAGAGTGTTACGACGTGGTACAGAAGTAGAGTGTTACGACGTGGTACAGAAGTAGAGTTACGAGGTGGTAGAGTCCTCGTTCTGTGAGTGTTTGTTATCACTCACTGTACTGCCCATCCTCCATTTTCATGTCTGTTATAGGACTGCTCACTATTATTTGGTGAGAGTGATCAGATGGATTTCCCGAGTAGAGAATTAAACTTTGTGTTGTGACGGTTTCCTGCCATGATTGGATGCGGTTTCTGATCTTCTTGTCTGTGTAGTACAGACATATTCTCATGCAACTGGTCCTTTGAACTGAGGAAATAGTTTTTAGTTAAGAAATGGTATGGTGATACCGACAAGATGTGCTACCATCCCCGGGGCTCTCCTCCTGACTACTGCCACTATATAAACTCGCTTCTTAGTTTTCTCTATATTAGAACTAGAGAAGCCAGTGATGGTAAAACATTTCCAGTAAAGTATGTCCTGAACTGTAGCTGAGGGTGACAGATGTTAGCACAGTGGAGGAGTTGCACTTGCCAAGTTAACCCTGTGGGAAGGTGAAAGAAGGTAAATTTCCACTGATTACAGATCACAACAGGCAGCTTCGAGATTGATGTTGGGTACCATCTTTAAGCACAAGATGAACCACGGACGTGATGGTTCACAAGTACAAGATGGACCACAAGTACAGGATGGACCACAAGTACAAGATGGACCACAAGTACAAGATGGACCACAGTACAAGATGGACCACAAGTACAAGATGGACCACAAGTACAGGATGGACCACAAGTACAAGATGGTCTCCTGTACAACCGAGAGAGAGCTGGAGAACCTCCTGTGTCGTACACATGTTCCTCTTGATAAAGTTGGACTGTAGGAATAATCTTGCCTAGATAACTGCTTCAGCGAAGGATATTAAATTTACATCACATCTTCTTGAGCTGCTCAAGTTATGTGTCTGTGACGCAGCATGTCTCTCAGAGACTACATTACTCACAGCTGCAGACTGCATTATGTACTCAGGATTAAGAAGTCTGGAGTGTCTTCGTGTCTTGACGGTGTTAAACTTTACTTTAGTCAAACTGCGCTACCCACTGAGACACTTTTCTGAGTCACACCTAAAACAATGTATGAATCTCTGAACTGAGAAGCCACAGAATATTTATTTATTTCAGAATTACTGTTTATGCGATACATTCTGAATGTCCAGAGGACGGACAACATTTCTTGTGAAAAGATCTTTGGAAGAATGAAGTTTTTTGTTTACTGACGTCTGGTAGTAATATAAATAACAGTTATTTAGGACTGTCTCACGATATCTATAATATAAAAAATGAGCTGATAATTCATTCATTTTTTCTCGCTAGACGACTCAATGTCCTGTCAGGCTGGAGGCTTAACTTTAGCTTTGGTGGGATGCGAGTTTGTAAACTAATGGACAGACACACATCTAACCAGAGACACTTTTCCCATATAACCCCGCCCCCCCCCCCCATTTAGCAAACCCTTTTTTTGGAGATGCCACTTATCAGCCGTAGCCTACCTGGTCTTTGACGTTTCCTGAAGCATAAGTTTCGTCTTCATTCCAACTGATAGAGGTGTATTTTTTCTGCAGGGAGAGAGATTAAAAGGTGGAACTGAGCATGCGGTGATGCTTGCATCCTCATCTCAGGGATATTAAGAAGGTGTCCAGCATCCCCTAGCCTCAGGCAGATAGCTATGGGATGCTGTCGGTGTGGAAGGGGATGCTGTCAGCGTGTCAGTATTCCCTGATACAGAGCAGAGAATTATGCGCCCTCATCTCAGAGCAAAATGTATATCTGGAGATGGTGAACAGCATCCCGTATCCTCAGGCAGACAGCTACGGGATGCTGCAAAGTTGTCAGGGAATGCTGTCAATGTGGCAGGGAATGCTGTCAGAGTGACAGAGAATGCTGTCAGTATTATTATATTCATGGAGAAGTGCTGATCCTGTAGGGGGTAATACAACACCTGGGAATGGGGAGGGGGAGTTCATTCTTATCAGTAAACAACTATCAATGAGATAATTCTCCCGACACAATACACAACCCGTACACAGGAGAGACGAGGAGCTTACCACGTCGACCGACTTGGATCATGTACAATGTCACACTCAGTGGCCTTCTAAGTTTACAGAATGTGACTTTGTAAATGCTCTAAGTCGGACCGAGGCGTCGTGGTAAGCTGCTCTCTCCTACGTGCGAGTTATTTATGTATTGTTCCCGTCACGGTATTCTGCATTTTTGTTCTCGTGACACAAGTTCCTTGCAAAGCTTTTCAGAAAGTTGAATAAAAAAATAAATATAATAATACAGGTAAACTTGGGAATAACTTTATGTAAATGTTAAAAAAAATACGATAAGGAATTAAATATTCCAATAACACGACGTCCATTTCTCTAATAATTAGTTCTCAAAATATGGATACTGTATGGAGACTATAGAAATACATAGAGGAGACAGTACACTACATAATGAACACTTCAAGTCTCCTGAGCGAGAATATGTATGGGACCTTTGTGAGATTAAAACTCTGTGATCATCAGATGATGCTGGATACTGTCAGCATCCCTATCTCGTCTGTGTCACCCGTCACACTGTAGATGACTGCTAGTGACGCATGAGGTGCCAGGAAGATGACTGCTAGTGACGCATGAGGTGCCAGGAAGATGACTGCTAGTGACGCATGAGGTGCCAGGAAGATGACTGCTAGTGACGCATGAGGTGCCAGGAAGATGACTGCTAGTGACGCATGAGGTGCCAGGAAGATGACTGCTAGTGACGCATGAGGTGCCAGGAAGATGACTGCTAGTGACGCATGAGGTGCCAGGAAGATGACTGCTAGTGACGCATGAGGAGCCAGGAAGAAGACTGCTAGTGACGCAAGAGGTGTCAGGAAGATGACTGCTAGTGACTCAAGAGATGCCAGGAAGATGACTGCTAGTGACGCAAGAGGTGCCAGGAAGATGACTGCTAGTGACGCAAGAGGTGCCAGGAAGATGACTGCTAGTGACTCAAGAGGTGCCAGGAAGATGACTGCTAGTGACGCAAGAGGTGTCAGGAAGATGACTGCTAGTGACGCAAGAGGTGCCAGGAAGATGACTGCTAGTGACGCAAGAGGTGCCAGGAAGATGACTGCTAGTGACGCAAGAGGTGTCAGGAGGAGTGATGCTAGCTGATCAGAGAGTGCAGGAAGATGACTGCTAGTGACGCAATGAGCTGTAGGAAGATGACTGTAGTGATAAGAGGTGCAGGTGATGATGCTGGTGACGTCAAGAGGTGCATGTGAAGATGATGCTGCTAGTGACTGCAGAGGTGTCAGAGATGTGATGTAGGTGACGTGATAGATGATGCCAGGAAGATGATGCTGGTGACGATGGGATGCGGAAATGGATGATGCTGGTGAGTGTGATGAGGCTGGGAGTGAGATGATGCTAGTGAGTGATGATGCAGGAGATGTGTATGCTGTGAGAAGTGAGATGCTGGATGAGTGCTAGTGATGCTGGTGAGTGTGGTGATGCTGGTGAGTGTGATGATGCTGTGAGTGTGGTGATGCTGGTGAGTGTGATGATGCTGGTGAGTGTGGTGATGCTGGTGAGTGTGTGTGATGCTGGTGAGTGTGGTGATGCTGGTGAGTGTGATGATGCTGGTGAGTGTGGTGATGCTGGTGAGTGTGATGATGCTGGTGAGTGTGGTGATGCTGGTGAGTGTGATGATGTTGGTGAGTGTGGTGATGCTGGTGAGTGTGATGATGCTGGTGAGTGTGATGATGCTGGTGGTGTGGTGAGCTGGTGAGTGTGGTGATGCTGGTGAGTGTGATGATGCTGGTGAGTGTGGTGATGCTGGTGAGTGTGATGATGCTGGTGAGTGTGGTGATGCTGGTGAGTGTGGTGTGCGGTGAGTGTGGTGATGCTGGTGAGTGTGATGATGCTGGTGAGTGTGGTGATGCTGTGAGTGTGATGATGCTGGTGAGTGTGGTGATCTGGTGAGTGTGTGAGCTGGTGATGTGTGATGTGATGATGCTGGTGAGGGTGGTGATGCTGGTGAGTGTGGTGATGCTGGTGAGTGTGGTGATGCTGGTGAGTGTGATGATGCTGGTGAGTGTGGTGATGCTGGTGAGTGTGATGATGCTGCTGAGTGTGGTGATGCTGGTGAGTGGGGGATGGTGGTGATGTGGTGATGCTGGTGAGTGTGATGATGCTGGTGAGTGTGGTGATGTGGTGATGTGTGATGTGGCTGGTGAGTGTGGTGATGCTGGTGAGTGTGATGATGCTGGTGAGTGTGGTGATGCTGGTGAGAGTGGATGATGCTGTGTGAGTGTGTGAGTGTGGTGAGGTGAGTGGAGCTCGGTGAGGTGGTGATGCTGGTGAGTGTGGTGATGCTGGTGAGTGTGATGATGCTGGTGAGGGGTGGTGATGCTGGTGAGTGTGATGATGCTGGTGAGTGTGGTGATGCTGGTGAGTGTGATGATGCTGTGAGTGTGGTGATGTGTGTGATGCTGGTGAGTGTGGTGATGCTGGTGAGTGTGGTGATGCTGGTGAGTGTGATGATGCTGGTGAGTGTGATGATGCTGGTGAGGGTGGTGATGCTGGTGAGTGTGATGATGCTGGTAAAGTGTGGTGATGCTGGTGAGTGTGGTGATGCTGGTGAGTGTGATGATGCTGGTGAGTGTGGTGATGCTGGTGAGTGTGATGATGCTGGTGAGTGTGGTGATGCTGGTGAGTGTGGTGATGCTGGTGAGTGTGATGATGCTGGTGAGTGTGATGATGCTGGTGAGGTGATGATGCTGGTGAGTGTGGTGATGCTGGTGAGTGGTGATGATGCTGGTGAGTGTGATGATGCTGGTGAGTGTGAGTGATGCTGGTGAGTGTGATGATGCTGGTGAGTGTGGTGATGCTGGTGAGTGTGATGATGCTGGTAGGGTGGTGATGCTGGTGAGTGTGTGTGATGCTGGTGAGTGTGGATGATGCTGGTGAGTGGATGATGCTGGTGAGTGTTGGTGATGTGGTGAGTGTGTGATTGATGCTGGTGAGTGTGATGATGCTTTGGTGAGGTGGTGTGAGGGCTGGTGAGTGTGATGATGCTGGTGAGTGTGATGATGCTGGTGAGTGTGATGATGCTGGTGAATGTGATGATGTGGTGAGTGTGTGATGCTGGTGAGTGTGATGATGCTGGTGAGTGTGATGATGCTGGTGAGTGTGATGATGCTGGTGAGTGTGATGATGCTGGTGAGTGTGATGATGCTGGTGAGTGTGGATGATGCTGGTGAGTGTGATGATGCTGGTGAGTGTGATGATGCTGGTGAGTGTGATGATGCTGGTGAGTGTGGATGAATGCTGGTTGAGTGTGATTGAATGCTGGTGAGTGTTGGTGATGGCTGGTGAGTGTGATGATGCTGGTGAGTGTGATGATGCTGGTGAGTGGGGATGATGCTGGTAAAGTGTGATGATGCTGGTGAGTGTGGTGATGCTGGTGAGTGTGATGATGCTGGTGAGTGTGATGATGCTGGTGAGTGTGATGATGCTGGTGAGTGTGATGATGCTGGTGAATGTGATGATGCTGGTGAGTGTGATGATGCTGGTGAGTGTGATGATGCTGGTGAGTGTGATGATTGCTGGTGAGTGTGATGATGCTGGTGAGTGTGATGATGCTGGTGAGTGTGATGATGCTGGTGATGTGATGATGCTGGTGAGTGTGGTGATGCTGGTGGAGTGTGATGATGCTGGTGAGTGTGATGATGCTGGTGGAGTGTGTGATGATGCTGGTGAGTGTGGTGATGCTGGTGAGTGTGATGATGCTGGTGAGTGTGATGATGCTGGTGAATGTGATGATGCTGGTGAGTGTGGTGATGCTGGTGAGTGTGATGATGCTGGTGAGTGTGATGATGCTGGTGAGTGTGATGATGCTGGTGAGTGTGGTGATGCTGGTGAGTGTGATGATGCTGGTGAGTGTGATGATGCTGGTGAGTGTGATGATGCTGGTGAGTGTGATGATGCTGGTGAGTGTGGTGATGTTATAATAAACACCAAACAGGTCATAACAGGTGAATGCAGCAGAACTCTTCGAGGTGTACAGAGAATGGCCCTGATTAGCCAGGCTATGGTGCATATGCCGTAGTGCGTGATGCTAGCACTAACAGTCTGGTTAATATGGCTATCCATCAGGAGGCGTTCTCTGTGGTTTCCCGGGAAGGACACTGACCCAAGAAATCATCTCCAGGTAATCTAAGTGGAAAACTCACGCACATTATCACAACACGAACCGCAATCATACACATTATTAATACCAGCTGCTGCTGTGTGTAGCAATACCAGCTGCTGCTGTGTGTAGCAATACCAGCTGCTGCTGTGTGTAGCAATACCAGCTGCTGCTGTGTGTAGCAATACCAGCTGCTTCTGTGTGTAGCAATACCAGCTGGTGCTGTGTGTAGCAATACCAGCTGCTGCTGTGTGTAGCAATACCAGCTGCTTCTGTGTGTAGCAATACCAGCTGGTGCTGTGTGTAGCAATACCAGCTGCTGCTGTGTGTAGCAATACCAGCTGCTGCTGTGTGTAGCAATACCAGCTGCTGCTGTGTGTAGCAATAGCAG